CCTGCCTTTTATTACAACCAGCAATTTGCCTTTAAATACTGTTTTTTTTTTTGTCTCCTAACCAGGGGCGGACTGACAACTCATGGGGCCCCCGGGCAATAGGGGATCATGGACCCCTGTGTCCTTGCCCAAACTCAAAAAAACCTATGAAAAAAGGTACCAGGAGCATCTCCTGGGGCCCCCTACTGACCCCGGGCCCTCGGGCAGTGCTCAAGTTTCCAAATGGTCAGTCCGCCCCTGCTCCTGTGTTCACCACTTGCACCCTACGGAGGCCCTTTTCCCTTCACTTCCACTCTTTGGGTTTTTGAGTACTACACATATTGTGGTCATGTGCACCACTCTTCCCAAGCTACAAATCCCAGTAGAAGCTATAGAAGATAACACGGCTCCAAGTACTCATATCCTCTGTGTAGTTCCAGATGTATCGGATGCTTGCCCAAGAAGACGTCATTCCTCAATCCACAATGTATCAGATGATGGGTTGCATACCAATGATGTCTATGAAGTAAAAACAAATTTTTTGTGTTCCATCAAACAGCCAAACATCCCGCTTGAAGCCACTCCACTCTAATGTGTTTCACCCATTTTTGGTTTGTTGGATTGCAATAAAGTTGTTTGTACATCAGTGATGTCACCTGTCTGTAGGATGTCATTCTTCTGATACAAATTCCAATACATCAGATTACTGACTTGATTCCACTGTGCATGTGTTCCTATTTTAATTTGCGGCAAGAGGGACTGGGTCCTGATATCACTCTGACGATAACAGTGCTGTGTGGGCAGGAAAGAGGTAAATAGTACCATGTGGGTGGCGATTGTATCATTGGGAAGCTTTCTCTGTTTTTTATGTATCTGCACTGGCTGCATCGAGTCCTATTGCTCTAGTCCATGTCAGGAGTATGCCAAGGAGAATGCTACTTTCCCACATAGAGTGGGACCATGGAGAACAAACATAGCCACCTTCATAAAGCAGATGAAAAATCGATATTTCAGGATGTACTTTCTGTCATTAACAATAGAGGTGATAAAGACGACTGTAAATAAATATGGATAAAATACCCATATATTTGTTTTTTTTCTTTTTTTTTTTATTAGGTTTAGTGACACTTTACGGCCTGGTTCACATTTATGCGTTTTTTGGTGCTTTTTGCAGAAGCTCACTACAGTCCATTTAACCTCCCTAGCGGTCTGATTATGTCAGTATTTCTGTGCTCAAAGCGGTACTTTTTTTGCATGGAAATATGTATTTTTTTTATTGTAGGCCTTGTAATTTTTAGGAATAACTCTCTAAAATCTGTCTGAACAAGAGTCTAGTAAACATCCCGGGTATGTTTAAAATTAGAAACACGAAATCATAAATTATAATTTAATATATAATCATAAAAAATAATAATGAATATAATAATAATAATACATTTAATTAAATAATACAATCAAACCAAAAACACTGAAATTTGAAATATAGAGCCAAGTTTGCACATCACTGAGCAACGTCGCAAAATTGTTTTCAGTGTCTGATGACGAATTTCCCCACAAATCATTATCACTCAATTCTGCAAGTGGTTCTGATTTACTATCGCTGTTCTCTAGCTGGTCTAAAACCGCTTTTGACCTAAAGGGACACTTTTTGGACGCCATGGGCGTTTCTCAGTTTCCAGGCAGAAAGAACAGTAAAAATGCAGACAGGGCGCCGGACAAAGCACTCGGGACAAAATGTATGTGAAATGGTTTGATACAGGAATGTTTTACTATGTGATTTAAGTGTATTGAGTGAATGTCACTTTTTCACATTTTTACATTTCCCACCGGTTCCGTCCCCCGTACGCCCTGATGTCGCAGGGGATGGAACCCAGAAGACAGATGCCGGCATCGGCTGGAGGACATTGCCGGGGACGCTGCAGGAGGGACATCGCGGGAGCGCAGGACAAGGTAATTGCAGAAGAGATCCCGGAGCAGCGCTGCAAGGCATTCCCGAGTGTAGCTCGGGGTTACCGCTTGTGGTGCTGAAACTTTACCCCGAGCTACACTCGGGAATACCACCAGGGAGGTTAACATGATTTCCTATGGGACACATTCACATCTATGTTTTTTTCAGCTGCTGCATTTTTGGAAAGGGTCAGGGCCTTTTTTGAAACGCGAAACGGTGCATCTTTGGTTCAATAGTCTTCAATAGAGACACTGAAGAAAAGCATGTAGTGTGTTTTTGATGAATTTTTGATGGGTTTGGTGTTTTTTAAATTACCCAACAACAAATTGGCAAAAAAAAAGCATAAAAAATGCAAAGCGCACTAAAAGCACATGAAAGACGTGTGAAAAAACACACCACAAACAGCACTGCAGAAATGGATCAAAAGCAAACTGCATAGGTGTGAACCAAGCCTAAGGGTCAGGTTATTTGTTAAGTGTTATTAGAAAGCGTTGGGTTGGGGGAGGGAGGTCAATTTCAAGAGTTACCGTAGTTTAAGGGTTAATTTTAAGGTTAAAAACAGTGAAAAATCTCCTGCACCAACTTTTCAATGTGCAATCTAGTGTCAGTGAATGAATGGTGCAGCTAACATCAATATGTGTTCCCACATGAATGTGCAAAATTTAGAAAAAATGATGATGTAGCGCTGCTATCTAAAATTGCATAATATGCAATATAACTTATTAAACAACATAATCCTGTGCAGAGATAAAGTGCTTGTACAAATAGTCCATAACAACAAAGTGCAAATCAATCAATTGCTTGGATAAATCAGTCCATATATTATATATGTGACCAACACCAATGATTTTGAAAGTGCTCGTGCTTAAAATCCACTTTGTGCAATCTTGTGCCACCTTAGTGCTCCCAGAACTCTCACCTCCAATTCTCTTCAGAATAACGTATGCATAAATCGTCTCTGTCTCTCTCCTCCACTCCTTATAGATGCTCCACATCCCTCTTCTATGGAGTGTCTATAAGGAGTGGAGGTTAAAGTTAGGGACAAGGACTGGCTAAATATTAGGGTCAGAAGAAGGTTAGGTGATGATCTGAAAATCCTAGGTCCTAATGTGCTTTAATGGGATTCTGGTGTCTGAAACCTGAAAATATTCTCCAACAAATGTGATGTAATTATGTCAGTCCATAAGAATAAGTCCTACCTTCTATTCCTGCTTGTTCAGGGACTTGAAGTATCATTGCGCCCTATTGGTCAACCTATTGGTCAACAGCTGATCAACATCACATGTCTCCAATCAAATAAATAACTTAAAGCCTAAAGAAGGTTCATGTTAAATCAGACTTTGAACCCCAATGATAAAGACTGTAGTTAAAGTGCCCCTCCCCTCCAAATTCTGCATACAAGTCCAAAAAAAACCTGTGGTGGGGGAGGGTTGATAATATACTTACCTTTCCCTGACATTTTCCCATAGCACCTAGGCAAAGGTGAAAGCTTCTTCATTCCGGCCAGATCTTGGAGGAGGTTGAGTAGTCCAAATCTCTTTGTGTGGTGCCGCCTTCTCATGAGATGTGGTGCTCAGCATTCCTAGTGATGACATCTCTCCCTGCACTACAGATATCCGGAAAAAGAAGAATATATTGCTATATTTCCCTCCATAAGTTATCTTATGCAGTTTTATGCAGCTTTTAAAGGAAGAGGAGCCACTTTGAATAAATGATACCAAAGTCAATGGTTGCATGATAAAAAAAAGTTGACATTGTGTACTACATATAATTCTATGTATAATAGGCTGAGGTTTCCTTAAAGATATTATATTTTTAAGCACATGTTGAATTTTAGTAGTCTTTTTCCAGGAGACAGTGCAAAGAGCAACAATAATGCACAGAAAGCACTAAGCCTTATTGGCCAATCAAATTTAGGTGTCCTGTATTTAACCAAATGAAACCTTAATTTTGACTGGTTGCTATGGGTTTTTGTGACACATTACACATCATAATTTTTATTCACTAATCCCAGCAGTTCCATTTTTAAGGTCTAAATTTGTGTCTGATTTAACAAAGTAAGACTTCAAAGAACAGCTAGGTCCTACCACTCCCATGGTTAATCTTCCCAGATGATGAAGCAGGGAAATGTGTAATGCTATCCTCAGGCTAGGCCCTCCCTGCGTTCCCCTTTAAGGGGACTTCTTTCACTGTGAGCCTATTAGTAAAATTGCCCTGTAGAATTCACATTAGAGAGGTCTAAGGCTTCGACTGCAGCTGCTAGATTTATCCTCGTCTCTCAGCATATTAAGAGGTTCCCCTTTTAACCAGATTAGCTTGTTTGCATTATCAATGATGCATGCAGGATGTACGAAATTCATTTAACCGGCTGCACAGTTTGGGACTTGACCATTTTCCCTTTGTCTGCTTTGAGATTTGGGGCCTTGGGCAGGGCCAGGCGGACAAACAAGACAGAATATATAGAGTACCTAAAATCCTTAAACATAGATAGATAGATAGATAGATCATTGGGATTGAGATTTAGGCCTTTGAGAGAGAGAGCCATAAAGAAAAGGTAGACAGCCTATGAGGGGTAATTAAAGTACTTAAAGGAAACTTAATATGAAGATAGATAGTTAGATAGATATGTAGATAGATAGATAGATTACCAGCTCTTGGATTCAGAGAGACAGGAGGACAGAAAAGACAGATGACCTAAATGGGGTACTTAAAATATTTAAATATATTAAACACAGTGGATAAATAGATAGATAGATAGATAGATAGATAGATAGATAGATAGATAGATAGATAGATAATTGGGATTGAGATTTAGGCCTTTGAGAGAGCAAGCCATAAAGAAAAGGCTGATGGGTAATTTAAGTACTTAAGGGAACATAATATGAAGACAGTTAGATAGATTTGTAGATAGATAGATAGATAGATAGATAGATAGATAGATCTGAGATTTCAGCCTTAAAGAATGACATAATCCCCATACCCTGCATTCACTATATCTGGTCTTCCCGGACCCTGCATTCACTATATCTGGTCTCCCAGGACCCTGCATTCACTATATCCGGTCTCCCCGGAC